TAAGCTGTACTAGCTGATACAGTATAAGACTAAGATTATTTAATGTATTATACAACATTTGAGATCACCTAGATTTATCAAAACGAGAAACTGACTTGGACACGTTCAAGGGATTAGAAGGTAAGATTGGGGAGCAAACAAAAGCCAACCTAGTATTTCACTTGAGAGAATACTTGTTTTTACTTGAGAATAATTCTTATCCTGTTTTGTGAAGGCAAATTTTTAAAGATAAAAAGCAAACAAAGATGTTTTAGCCCATGAATTTCATCTCTCTTCCAAATGTGTCAACCATCATGGAATACAGGCTTATCACAACTTTACTTTTAAAACATATATATCTTTACTTTTCTAAATATATTAATTTCTGGGTGATTTCGTGGGTTATTTTATGATCCTTGAGGCTTCAATACTTTTCTTCTATGGCTACAGGAAAAACCTGACATGCATTTACCTAAAAACTTGCTTTTAAGCAAGCTAATTTAGAACATTTTATCATTCTGATACAGTAGGCTTATATTCTAGCGCTACTGAAACAAACATCTAGGACCAAGATGGAGCCACTCCTGCCTAGGGTGCCATGTCAGCAAACTGAAACTTAAGATAAGTTTCAGGTCCCTGTAAATGCTCTGCTTGACCAGAGACACCGTGTATCCAGTCAGCCAATCCCCACAGGCCAAACCAATTCTCGGCTCTATACTTATTTCTTTGTTCCTTCTCACCCCAAACAAGGTTGACTATGGGGCCCCAGCCAATCAGACATTTTCTATTTTTCTCTTCCTTGTTCTTTATTCTTCATCCTATAAAAACTTCCTGTCTTCTGCCCCATGTTGCACTTCTCCAAATGGAGACTGTTTCATAAAGTGTTAAAGTTAATTTGTATCACCCAAACTGTCTTCTTTAAATCATTTTTTAACAGCACTAAACAGTATATGGCTAAAAAAATAATTTATTCTTGCAAATCAATATTGTTAAAGAAAAAATAGCTCATAACATTATATCAATTTAGTTATAGAAATGATACAACATAAATGTACTAGATGTGTTTTTTGCCTAACTAAAAATGATAATGTGACAAGAAAGGATATATAAATATGTATCATGCTTCTACAATCTAGTTTCTAGTATCTTGTTGATTTGAAAAATTCACGATTTCTTTAAGGTACTTTATCTGGGTCTGTTTTTTTTTTTTAACTCCAAAATATTATTTTGCTATGTAGCTAAAAAGACAAGCACTATCAATACTTTAGAAGCGCTAACAATGGTGGAATCAGGCCACAACACAGAGAAATGCTGGACTGGAGGAGAGAGGACACTTGGTTTTGAGCTCACTAGCTTTGGAGTCTTAGGCAACTCAATCTTTCTTTGTTTCCATTCCCTTATTTGTAAAGCAGTAGTCAGAGTAAGCAATCATATCTAACATTCTCCAAGAGTCTCTCTAAACTGTAATTAAAATTAATGAGGGAGAAAAAAATCTTACGATTTTATCTTCAAGTGGAAACAATGACACCAAGCAGCTCAACAGATGAAAAAGAAAAATACAATATACATACATATAAATATATTTAGATATAGATATGAAAGTTTCTACTAGTACATGTGAGTCACTGGCCTTTGAGTAATTTCTCTTGACTACTCCCTACTCTGCCCCCATTTAAAGAGACTGACGAAATAATGGCAGCAATTTTTGACATCATTATTCTTAGCAAGGCTTTGCATTTTGTTTTTATTCTCCTCGAGAATAGGCATATTTGTATTTTGCTTCTGAAAAGGGTGCAGGACATCACGGCAGACCGATACTCTTGTTTTAACAACTAGAAAAAAAACCCTTGATAAATGGTTAAAAATATATTTATGAGAGAATTGTGGGAGCAACGAGAATTTTATATTATCTAAAATTCCAAAGAGGAAAAAGTCCTTCCTAGGTGAGCTGACAGTAGCTGGCTTCTTTCTTCCGCAGAAGCCTTTGACAATTCTTAGTGTGGGCTAAGGATAAGATCTGGACCAAGTGGAGGCACACTATCTTAGGAAAGAGAAATTAGTACAGCTTATCATGATCTCATGGTGTTGTCACAACAGTCTAGAAACTAAAGGAACCCCAAACACAAGGCTGATTTTTCCCAAGAAATATTTGCTGAGTTCCTGGGAGGTCTGAGAGACTTAAGTTCTGAATCTGAATCTTCAAAAAGGCAGAGTGAAATCTCTAACTCAGGTAGTGTTTCAGAGACAAAGTACTACTAGAAGTAAGAGATCTGTAACAAACACATAACTAGCTTCTAACAATCAATTATGAGGAAATACAAGGGAACATAATGAATGACAATTTGGTAATGCAATCAGCAAAATACAGACTAAGGGATACTCCTCAGTACAAATGGTCAGCTTTCTTACACAAATATATTGCAAGGGAAAAAACAAAGAGGAACCTATTGATTAAATAACTTAAGAAACATGGCCACTTTTTGTCATACATGGACCTTAACTGGATCTGGATGCAAAGATACAAAAGGAAAAAAAAATATTATGAGACTGTAAGGGAGCTGGGATATCTGACAGAATATTGAGATATTAAAGATTTATTTAATAATGGTATCATAGTATTGGGTTGGCCAAAAAGCTCCTTCGGTGTTTAAAGTAAAACTAAAAGACGGATTTTTCATTTTCACCAAGAACCTTACTGAACAACATATTCACCGTTTTGTTCCACTACCATCTGCCATTTTCCAGGCAACTTCATAATTCTACCTTCTCAAAACCTTTTATCTTTTTGAGCAAAGAACTGTTCCAGGTGCCTTTTACAGTCTTCCAGGGAACTGAAATTTTTTCCATTAAGAGAATTTTGTAAAGACCGAAATAAATGGAAATCTGAAGGTGCAATGTCTGGTGAATATGGCAGATGAATCAGAACTTCCCAGCCAAGCTCTAACAGTTCTTGCCTGGTCATCAAAGAAACGTGCAGTCATGTATTATCCTGAAGGAAGATTATGTGTTTTCTGTTGACTAATTCCGGATGCTTTTTGTCGAGTGCTGTTTTCAGTTGGTCTAATTGGGAGCAGTACTTGTTTGAATTAATCATTTGGTTTTCCGGAAGGTGCTCATAATAGAGGACTCTCACCATATACACAACATCACCTTCTTTGGATGAAGACCAGCCTTTGGTGTGGTTGGTGGTGGTTCATTTCACTTGACCCACGATCTCTTCCGTCCCACATTATCGTACAGTATCCACTGTACAAAAAAAAAAGTGTACAGTGTACACTTTCCATTGCCCGTCACAATTTGTTTTAAAAAAGAAAAGTTTTTGTTACGTTTAAGTAGAGAATTGCACGCGGAAATATGGTCGAGGATTTTTTCGCTTAACTTACGTGGAACCTGAATAAGGTGACATATGGTCACCTTATCTTTGATAAAGGAGGCAAGAATATACAATGGAGCTCAATATCAAAAAAAAAACTACCCAATCAAAAAATGGGCAGAAGATCTAAATAGGCATTTCAGCAAAGAAGACATACAGATGGCCAAGAGGCACATGAAAAGATGTTCAACATCACTAATTATTAGAGAAATGCAAAGCAAAACTACAATGAGGTATCTATCACCTCGCACCAGTCAGAATAGCCGTCACCAAAACATCTACAAACAATAAGTGCTGGAGAGGGTGTGGGGAAAAGGGAACCCTTCTGCACTGTTGGTGGGAATGTAAATTCAGCCACTATGGAGAACAGTATGGATTATGGAGGTTCCTTAAAAAACTAAAAATAGAGCTACCATATGACCCAGCAATCCCACTACTGGGCATATACCCTGCCTTCTTATTGAAAACCAAATCATAGAAAGAGCAACAATTTCAAAAACAGCAGTAGGTTCAGTAACCTGTATTCCAAAATTATCTAAGAAGACAGTTGTCTAGAATTAAAGCTCTCTAAGAATGGAATCCTACTTCTTTCTTTGGTAGTTTGATTTATTTCAAGTTCATTCATTCATTCAACAAAGTTGCAGATAAAAAAGTCCTTACTGGAGGGCCTTCCCTGGTGGTCCAGTGGTAAAGAATCTGCCTTCCAATGCAGGGTTCAATCCCTGGTCAGGGAACTAAGATCCTACATGCCGCGGGGCAACTAAGCCCACATGCCATAACTACTGAGCTTGCGCTCCTCAATGAGAGCCCACGTACTGCAAACTACAGAGCCCATGCGCTCTGTACCCTGCGTGCCACAACTACAGAGCCCACACACCCTGGAGCCTGAGCGCCACAACTAGAGAGAGAAAACCCGTACTCTACAACTAGAGAAGCCCGCGCGCCACAACGAAGAGCCCACACCGCAACAAAAGATCCCGTACGCCTCAACAAATACCCCAATGCTGCAACTGAAACCCAATGCAGCCCAAAAAATAAAGAAAATAAATAAATAAAAAGGAAATAAATTAAAAAAGAAATAAAGATGCTTAAAAAAAAAAGTCCTTACTGTCAAGGAACTTACCGTCTGGAGGAGAAGCCAATCCAGGAAAGAACTAAACACAATCTCATGAGATAAATTCTACTGTGCATGATACAGACAAGTACAAGATGCTATGGAAGGAGAGAGGGGAGGTACTGTTTCCTTTTAGGATTGAGTTTCATGTGCTGGCAAGACTGGTGGCCTGGTAGGCGTTGAGGGAGGCAGAGATAACATCCTGAATTGATTTATGTCAAACTAAGGAGTCTGGATAGAAGGTATAATGGGGTAGCACTGACAGCTTTTAAATTATCTGATTTACACTTTAGAAAGTTAGAAATGAGGAAAAATTTTAGGCATTTATAATGTTAATAACTTCAACAATTTAGAATTATCTAAAAGAAACATTACAATCCTACCTATTAACAAAATGAAAACCTATTATCTATGGAAGTTTAAAAACTAAACGTTAAAAGGCTTGAGATGAGAAGCTTGCCTGCAGTTTCTCCTGAATAAGTAACAGAGATTAAGCAGAAAAGGAGTATAACCAAACACTTCAGGTTTACGTACCTATAACAAGATGCTCCATAGGGACATTCGGGCCGGTCATCAGCCTCACCTTGACACGTGATGTGTACACCTCCATAATCACTATCACCAGGGTGACTGAAGTGTTGAAAATGGACAGGATTCTTCCTATGAGAGTGATAAACATACTGTCAGAGAAAAGAATTAATAGGATATAGTAGACTTCTAGATAAACTAGAAAAAAATAATTAATAGGATATAGCAGGAAACCAAACAATACACATTTGATTATTCTAGAACGTGAACCAACATGCTACATGACATTTAGTCAGTGTGGAACTCTCATGGTAGCAAATTAAATTTCTGGTGGCATGGGGAAGACCATGAATGTCAACGGACAATCTGAAAACAGTACTTTATATAGGCTATATACAACAGAATATACAGGATAATATAAATAGTATAAGCATACAGAGCTTTTAAAGGCTTTTAATAAAGTGAACACATCTACACTCCCTCTGCTAAGATAAAAAACAATATTACCAACATTCTAGAAGCCCTGCATGTCCCCTTCGAATCATTAAACCCATTTTACTACCCAAAGCTAACCACTATCCTGTCATCTGCAACAGTGTTTCTCAAACTTTTCAGTCTCAGGAAAAAAACTATTAAAACTCCAGAGAACTTTTATTTATGTGGGTTATTTAACCTATTAGAAACTAAAAATGAGAAATTTTTAAAATAAGTTTACTTTATAATAGTAATAAACCCTTTACATATTATGATAAATAGCACATCTTAATGTAAATACCTATTTTCCAAACAAATTCGTGGAGACATTGTTTTATACTTTGGAAATTTCTTTAATGTCTGGCTTAAAAGAGGGCATCCGAATTCTCCTCCTATCTGCTTCTGCATGCAATCATTAACACAAATCATGTAGCCTCTGGGAATACTGTACACTTGTGAGTGAGAGAATCAGAGTGAAAAAGGCACACACACACAAAGTATTATTATGAAAATGGTTTTGGCCCAACAGGTTTCCTAAAAGCATCTTGGGGACCAGGACCTGCAAGGGCCTCTGGAACATACTTTCAGAAGCAATGTTACAAACAACATATTAGTTTTTCCTGTATTTGAATTAAAATGGAAATATGTAGTATGTACTTCTTTGAGAATGACTTTTTATGTTTGTATGATTACTCCACATTACTGCATGTAACAGTAGTATACTTTTATTACTGTGTAACATTCCACTGTATGAAAGTGCTATAATTTATTTGTCCATTCTACTATTAATAGACTTTTGGATTCATTCTAGCTATTGGTTTTTATAAATAATACTGCTGTGAACATTCTACTTTTGGCGTACTGTTAGAAGTAATAAACTAATTCAGCAAAGTTGGAGGATACAAAAATCAACACCCAAAAACCAGTTGTGTTCCTATATACTTGCAATGAACAATCCCGAAAGGAAATTAAGAAAACAATTCAATTTACAATAACATTTAAAAATAAAATAGTTAGGAAATAAACTTAAGGAGGTGAAAGACATACACAGGTTTAATTTCTATTAAAGAAGACACAAATAAATGGAAAGACATCCCATGTTCATGGAATGGAAGACTTAATATTGTTAATATGTAAATACTACCCAAGGCAATCTACAGATTTAAAGCAATCCCTATTAAAATCCCAATGACATTTTTTTGCAGAAATAGAAAAATCCATCCTAAAATTCATGTGAAATCTCAAGGAACCTCAAATGAACAAAACAATCCTGAAAAAGTTGAAGGTTTCACACTTCCTGATTTCAAAACTTATTACAAAACTACAGTTATCAAAACAGTGTTGTACTAACATAAAGACAGGCATATAATATAGACACATGGAAGAGAACAGACAGCCCAAGATAAACTCTTGCTTATATGGTCAAATGATTTTTCAACAAAGTTGCCAAGACCATTCCAAAAGGAAAGAATACTCTTTTCAACAAATGGTGCTGGAAAAAGAGGATATTCACATGCAAAAGAATGAAGTTGGACCCTTCCCTTACACCATATACAAAATTAACTCAAAATGTATCCAAGACATAAAAGTAAGACCTAAAATATAAAACTTCTAGAAGAAAACAGGGGGAAAGCTTCATGACATTGGATTTGTCAAAGATTTCTTGCCAAATGCAAAGGCAAGAAATGTAAAAGTTGCCTAAGTTCCATGAGACTGCCCCAAACTCTGCCTGTCCTCTTAGCCCTCAGTCTGAAACACTAAAAAATTGGCAAATGTCACAAGAAAAAAAGAAGCCTCAAGGTCCTGACTGCCTCTAATGTTCTCAAGCATGAGTGTTCCGCTTTGCTAGTTGGTCCTCAACTAGCAAAGGAGCTTTGGTCCTCAATAAGACACATCACCTTTACTAGAGATAAAACGCTTATTTTATAGACTATTAACTCATAATTTATATGACCTTATGGAGATAAAATCTACAAGTTTTAATTAAGGTATAAATTTCTTACAAGTTAGTAAGAGACATTTCAATTTCTATCCAATTTTTAAAAGCAGTTTACTAATAGAATCATATGCTATTAAAAAGAAAAACTATATGGCCCCAAAAGAACAAAATTTTCAAAAAGAATTTTTTGGAAGCAACAGTTTCTATAAAGTTAAATGCTATTTTGTTGTTTTTTTGTTTCACAAAGGATTGAAATAAGATGTGACTGCTTTAGACAGGTTGAATTTGAAGTGCCTGTGATTTAAGTGGTGATTATCTGGATCTAAAATTTAGTACAGAAATCTGTGTTGGAGATACAGACTTGGGAGTTAATACCATAACATCAAGGGAGTGAATAAGACTACCCCTGAGCAATAATTTTCTATTAAGACGGAACATGTAAATAAATAATTAGAAATCAATGATTAGATAGTAAATATCAGATCTAATATCAAATATTAGAAAGTGTACGAGGAAATGTTGTGTAGAATAGAAGATGAGCAATTTAGGGAAGAATGAACATCTGTTAGAAAAGGGCTAAGAAAGGAACTGAATGTGTCTTTAAGCAGGACAGGAGACAGGAAAAGGGAACAACACATCCAAAGGACCTAACAACAGCATGACAGCATGGTGCATCCAAAGAATTACTGGGAGTTCAGGGTCTTCTAGACTATGCTAAGAAATCTGGCCTTTAGCCACTGAAGGATTCTGTAAAGGAGAGTAATATTGTCAGATTTTTTTCTCTCTCTTCTTTTTTACCTTTGTTTTTATTTTCTTAGCCAGATCATTCAGGCAACAATGAGGAAGGAATATGAACCTGACGGAAAGTTTGGAGACTTAGGAGATTATTCACTTGTCCCAGAGAGATCACTGCATGAGCTAAAGCAGTAGCATTGAGGCTGGAGAAAAGATACATTTAACTAATTGTTAAGATGCACGTATATAACAAGAACTCAATATAGGTTATTTTTCCCCCTTTGTTACAAATATAAACATTTCGTTTTCAAGATTTCAGTGGCAAATATTTCTCAGGTATTAATTATGTATATCAAAATTAGTGAAGAAGTAAAAAAAAACTATTCATAAGCTATGACTGGTTAAAACTAACGTGTATCATCATCAAATATGTATGAATTCATTATGATCTTGATAAAAGATTCAATCACATTTAACAAAGACAAGTACCAGCCAAACACCGTTATGGACTGAATTGTGTTCCCTACCCCCAAATTTATATGTTCAAGCCCTAACCCCTAATGTGACTATATTTGGAGACAGAGCCTTTAAAGAGATAATTCAGATTAAATAAGGTCATGAGGGTAGGGCTTCAATCCAAAATGACTGATGTCCTTATAAGATGAGGAAGAGACTCCAAAGATGTGCATGTACAGAGAAAAGGCCATGTGAGGGCGCCATGAGAAGGCACTGTCTGCAAGCCAAGGAGAGAGCCTGCAGGAGAAACCCAACCTGCCAACACCTTGATCATAGGCTTTCAGCCTCCAGAACTGTGAGATAATAAATTTCTGCTGTTTAAACCACCCAATCTGTGGCATTTTGTTATAGCAGCTCTAGTGAACTGATACAGATACCAAACAGGATTTTTCAAAAATCCAAAATAATAGAAGGTTTATATACTTCCATTTCACAAGTTTATAAATTATGTTCCATATGCAGGACTAAGGCCATCGCAAATAGACAAAATTGTGAATAAACGCATAAATTATAATGGTTGAAATTGAAAAATATAATTATTCAGGTGTTATAATGGCACTGCATTTTAAAGAGAGATACAATGAATGAGAAATTAACAGAATATGTGATATAAATATGCTATCGAATAGAAGACAAACTACTAGAATGTACTGATAAGATACTTGGTTTGATAAGTTGGAATGGCAAAGAAATACTTCTGAAATAGGGCTAGGTAATTATAAACATGTTAGAATAAACAGAGAGAAACTATAGCCTAAAACTAATTCACAAAGCATGAAATTAGAAAATATGGTACAGTGTTATCAAATGAAGTAAGTATAGGAGTAACCAATCAATCCATAAAATATATATTTAGTTGTTTCAGAAGGCATCACGGTGACTCAGAAGCACCATTAGAAAAATATAAAGGAAAATGCACAAATATAAGATGCTTAAGCACAACTTAGAATCCTCTTGAGAGTTATACTGTATACAGCAACTACTTATGAAGGCATCTTTCCAACAGCTAAATAAGACATTACATGAGCAGGTATTTTGATCTGAGTGATTCTGTTTTCAAGTCTGGATTCCCCAGTTCAGATCCCTGTATTAATCAGCATATCTACAATGAAACATTTAATCCCCCACAATATTTTAAAAGCCTCTAGCAGGATTTGCTAGAATGCATACTGAGAAAGTGCAAACCAGGAGAAACATGATAAAGCTCCTAACCTTTAGGCCAATGGGTTTTATTAGGCTTTTAACACACTATAGCATGTATCTACATAGCTATTATGCTGTTGAAATAATGGAATTATATGCTAGCTGTAATTTCACTTCATACCTGTAGCAGTTTGCCCCATACATGCAGGATGTCCTCTTGACCTTGTTTTCTTCAGAACCCTGTGGAACTGAATCAGCTGCCTTTGCATGCAAAGTTTCAGGATTGGAGGGATCAGAGCCAGACTCAGGATGAGATCTTTCAGGCTCGTCATGGAAGGACTTGCCTTGGGCACTCAAACAACTCTCAGAACAACTCCTCGCCTTGCTGTCTTTATCTGGTGTTCCCTTAGTGGTGATTTTATGTTCAGGAACCTTATCAAGTTCCTCTACTGGGATTTCATTTCTCTGTGCATTAGTCTTCATGTTATTTACTTCTGTGTTATCTAACGTGATTGCAGAAAATGACTGTGACATTTCCTATAACACAAATCAGAAAGTAAATAATAAAGCATGTTTCAAAAGAAATATGTAAATTTAAGCATAAAAGCGTGAAACTACAAGATTCATGCAATATGTATATTTTAAAACTTTAAGATTCACATTTTAAAGTTATTAAAAATACCATTATCTCTGTCTCTAATTTAATAACTTTGAAATGGTCTACCGTTATCAGAAAAGGAACTTATAGCTGTATCAAACCTTTACAATCGTGTCAAACATTCAGTGACAAATAACCAGAAAAATACAAACGAAACATAAGAGAACCCAACAGCTGCTTTCGTTTGAATATGATCTTTCCCAAAAAACCTACTAGGCTCTTAAATTTCCTGTTCAAGAATGTGTCACACTTCTATGCCCTGTTCTTATAATTTCTTATAAGTTACTGTAATACTTTATTTCTACCCTCTAAATATAATCATGATTTTTTTTCCTACAGCTGCATGATGAAATTGCTCCTCCTTCACAGAAAAATTTGCATTAAGTTATGAGCAACTTAGAAAATAAATGATTCCTTTGAAGTGGTAGGAATAACAGTTTCAGTTTAACCAATTAAAGGCATCTTGAATCAAGTAAATATTCTCATTAGCACTACAGAACCTTTTTTAATGTGTACTTACCACCAGTAAGTATAATGAGTAAGCCTAGTCTTATCCTATTAAAAATGACCTATTAATTACTTATACTTCCTGTGGAGTGAAAACATTGCTCAGATAAACCCCAGTCCTCCTGGTAAGGACGTGATGACCACGTACTAGATACACGTGAAGGTTCACTCCCATGTATAACTAAGAACTCATGTATGCTGGCTGTCTTCTGGGAAAAGCTGGTTTTAATGTTATGTGATATCCAACAGCTCAAATTTCTTGAGAAGGTATCAGCATGACTTTTTTTTAGACTAATTACTTAGGTGTTTTGATAGTTTTTTCTTTTCTAGCACAGTATGCCAACTTTAAAATGTTATCCAAACTGACTAAAGACCTTGCAAAAAGAACCTAGATCTAATCATGGCTCTCGTATAGTAGGTAATAGATAACCAATCATGTGACTACCTCTTGGAGCTGGCCCTCAGGTAGTGGCATTCATGCCACATCCCGCTAACATATACACTATTTCCTCCGAAGCTGCTCAAGTACACCCCAATCTCATCTCCCTCTGCTATAGGACCAACTAACACATGCCAGGATCTGGACCTGGGGGTGGGTGCGGTAACAGAGCAATTCTGATCCACCTCCCCACTTGGCAGTCCCCACACTGGGTCAACTCTCACCAATTTTCTTTTTTTCTGTTCAGACAGTAATGGGGTAAGTCAGCAAATCCACTGGCTAAGCAGGTCCAATAAAATGTCAGTCTCTTCTTCCTGTTGGCATCTCGAAATGCCACAATAAATTCTCTTAGAGCACATCTCTTCTCTTGATTTTAGAAGGGGAGAAAATAACTTCTTCCCCCGAACACAGCCCTCTCCCAGATCTTAAAACCTCCTTGTCTCTCAGTTCTCTTTGTATAAAGCCTGAGGGTGGAACAGTGAATACTTCTCACCCCTTTCAATAAGCCCCACAGGGAAAGTCTAGCTCTCACTGCTGGGGTGCTCCTTTCAAATATGAGATACTTAACAGTACTTCTGTCCTCAGTGTTGGGCCTCGGCAACAGTTTTGTTGACAATAGGGAAAAATATCCCATTCAACGTCCTGTCACATTTAGTATAGGGGAAAAAATAAAACACAACTAGGGAAATGGTTAAATAAAGTAGAATACATTTCTTACCATGAAACACTGTGCAGAGGTTGAGAAGAATGAAGTAGATCTATATATATATATCTAAGGATTTTTTAAATTAAACAATATATATATACTATGATTCCATCTAGCTTGTAAAAAAAAATTCCCTATATACCTATGTGAGTACTTACTTGTGTAAATCCACATGAAAAGATTTAGAAGGATGCAAACCGAAATACCAGTAGGCAATAAGACTGAAGGATGAGGCAAATCAAGATTTTCATTTTACTTCACATGCGTCTGAATAGTCTAATTTTTGACAATAAGCATCTACTATATTACCACTTAAAAAATGAAAAGCAAACCAAAGAAATGAAATAAAAGATATGAAGTGTAAAGCATCATATTTCAACTCCCTCTACTTCCATGAAATGTAAAGAAGGATTTGTTTTTTTAATATCTTCACAAGGAATATGTTGAACATGTTAATTTATTCCAAAAGAGAAAGGAGTAATAAAGTCACAGATATCAATACTATGGATCAGGGGTTCTCAAATATTTTAAGAGGCATAAAAACTGGAATTCATAATGTTCTTTATGGAACTCCATGAAATATTGATATTCAGTAGGCCCCTGGCATTTAACATTCGTGGTTTCAATTATTCATAAACGGTCTCAAAAATCTATTACATGCAGTATTTTGTAAGTTTGCTGAGACATAAATTCGTACTGTGCCAATTATAAAACTCATGAGCCAGAGCAAGTCACTGAACTGGCAAATGAGAGAAGAGGAAAGATGGAGGGTTCTCTGTACTTGGAAGAAGTAGGGGAAGGCAGAGCTCCACATTTTATGGCACCCACATGGCTTATGTCCTAGATGAGATGAAAATGTGAAGAATGAAGTGTGGCAGGCTAGAGATTCATGACAGAAGAGGCAGATCTACACTTTGTAAAAATACATGCTAGAGACCTCAGGAATCGGGGAGCATGGAGCTAATGGAAGGTGGCCCTGGTGCTTGAAGGTGGCTAAAATGTACCATATTAAGGCTATTAAAGTAGCCTGTTAACTTGCCCAATAAGCCCTTCCTCGTCCCTCAACCATCTGAAGTTTTTTTTTTTTGGCCCCGCCATCCAGCCTGTAGGATCTTAGCTCCCCAACCAGGGACTGAACCAGTGCCCATGGCAATGAAAGCACAGACTCTTAACCACTGGACTGCCAGGGAATTCCCCATCTGAAGTTTTAATACACTACAAGGGACAGGATAAAGAACTTTCCCCGATACAAGTTCAATGAAGTAATTTGTTGTTGTTTCCAAGCTGCCCTTGGAAAGAATGTCTGTGCTAATAAATTGCCTTAAAAGTCCTGCATCAATCCCATTAGCACCCACATGCTAAGGACTAAAAAATCCTAAACTCCAGCCCCAGCCTCACTCTTGAGCTTCAAACTCATATATTCAACCACTAGCTAGACATTCCTTCCTCAATATTCTATGCAACTCAAACTCAAAATGTCAAAATTGAAATCCTCCCTCGGTATTCTGGCCATAGTTTTGGCCAACATAATTTATCTATTCATTCTAGCCAGAACCTTGGAAGTCTATCTTTCATTTCTTCTTTCCTTCACTTTCCCCAGATCTAAGCAACAAGTGCTGCAGTTTGTTTCTTAAATATTTCTCTAATCCAGTGCCTTTGCAGTGCCTTGGGTCAGATTCTCTTCATTTCATGACACTGTCAATGCCCTTATCCCCCGTTTTTATCTTATTCTCTTCCAATCTCTCCTCTGAAGAGCTGGCTTATGTAGTCCTCCTCAAGGCTCCCATAAAAATCAATGTGTTGTCACTTTATTTTAGGATTTGAATCATGTCCCCCATAAGACTATTTGCTTCTTATCAACTATATCTTATTCATCTTTATTCATTTAATTCCATATTCTAGCATACTGCCTTGCATATAACAGAAAGACTGCTTTAGTGTAATGATTATTAGAATGGTCTTTGAAATAAAAGAATCAGATTTTGAATATCAGCTTTGCTATTTCCTAACCTTTGACCTTGAACAAGTTGATTTAAACTTTCAGGCTCCCCTGGTCTGTAAACCAGGGATATTATCAACCAACTTTACAGGATTTTCTAAAAATTAAATGAAATAAGTATATCTTAGTACTGGGGAGAGCCGATAAAAAGGCTCAATAAATGACTGTGGGTGTTTTTTCAGTTGTTGTTGTTAATAGCATTATTAATGCCACCATATTACTACTATTTGCTTAGTGAGCGCTTGTTAAATGAATGAATGATTAAATGAATGAAAAGGTGTTTCTGTGGGACTGATCGGAGACATGCTATAAATGGTACAACCTAAATGGCCGATCAGGAGCAAAGGATACAGGATTCTTTGATGCAGTAAACAAACACTAAGTAGCTCTGGGGGATACAGTCTTACTTAAGAGATAGCTATGTAAGTAAGAGTTACACTCTTCACCTCTCCTGTTATTTTGGTCAGCCAAGCCAAGAATTTAGTGTACTCAAGACAAATGAAGATACTCTTAAAATATCACCTCCCTACCAGCTTTCAGGAATAAACAACCTATTTTTGGTAATGTTTCAAAGATTTTATTGAACATCTAGATCTTTTGATATTCCTGATAACTTAAAATGTTTTCTTTCTGAATAACCTTGATTGCAATCCTTACAGTTGGCAGAAAAGGTCTGACCTTTCTTAAAGGTTCACTTGTGATTATCAAACTTTATGGGTTGGTATAAACATAGGAAAACGTGTATACTACAGATTTTCCTCTGAAAAAAAATTTCTCTTCTTGGAAAAAAAAAGGGCAGTTATATTGATATTGTAAAAAATCAATAAAAAGAAACCTCAATTAAATAGAGTCAGGATACCAGAAGATGGAGCTCTCATGCCCTGTGATGAGAGCAAAGCCCAACAGAAAGAAGACTCCTCTTCTTTCCTGGCAATGATTCAGCCAATAAAAAGCCATGGACTCTTAGTTTACTATAGTCCGCCAACCTCCTTTTCCTCTCTATAAAAGAGTTCTCCTTCCCTTGTAAAGCGAGAACTTGCAGCACATGGCTTGCCATAGTTATAGACCTCGAATTGCTGATCACAAATAAAACCATTTGTTTTAGGTCAACATTTTGGTGGCCTGTATGGGGATCAGAGAAGACCCCCAATAGCTCCAGGGCTGGTGAGCAAACAGGTGCAGTCCCCACAATTGAGTCCACTGTGCTCACTGATTTTTCTCGCAGACC